ATCTGTCATACTAAATTATTAGTAAACTAGGCTAGATTAACTAGGTAGTAATTAGTGAGGGTTTTTTCTTTTCTAACAAGGGAGAAGTGCTGTTGATTTGAGGGCTGGTTAGAGGGGGACAGAAGAGAGCTGGCTTTTGACTGCTGATAGCTCACTGGATCACACTAAGACAAGACTTGTAAACAAGATGAAAAGAGACAAGGAGCACGCATGCAAGGTGCAGACGCCCATCTGTTCATCGAGCACTCCAGTGCCGTACCCCACCACATAACCCCTTCATGGCCACAGGCACACGGAACGGTTGAGAGCTCCATGCACGGCATAACCCATCACGCGGGCGCTGAACCCGCTCTGGTGACACTCCGAATCTGCTCACGGGCTGAAGGAGAAGTTGTGCCTCTCTGAGGGTTTGTAGGCAGTTGCTGCCTTCTGCGTGGTGATAGCGGGGGTAGTGGGAGACAGCTGTGGTACCAACGCAGCAACAGTGGGAAGGCTTTGTCCAGCTCTGCTTCCATTGAAAAAATATTTTCCAGCAAATTCACAAATGCAATAAAACCATATTTTATTATTTGCTCTTTATAACTGTTTATATCCAAGAACAATTTTCATCTTGCTAAGCTCTCCATTTCCCAGCTGAAGATCTAGGGTATTTTTGAAAATGCGTCTTTTTCCCCAGCCAGAGCTTGCATTTTTTTAGAGCGTCATGATACGTGTTTTAGTCTGAGTTCCTTCCTTTTGTCTGTAGCTGAGATAAAGAATTAGTAGTTTAAAACAATAACTACATGTTCCACTATGATCAAGGAATTAGATAATCTGGCATGTTTGCTTAAGGGGTCTGTATCTTGGGGCTTTTATAGGGCAGTATTAAAGCCCTGAGCCTTCTTATTATGCCAATACCCAGAAGATTGCTTTAATGAGAAGTAAAGGGCCTTTTTCCAATTACAAGGGAATAACTGTATTAAGTTCCTGTGTTATGTCAACCTGCTTTGATTTGATTACTGCGAAAGAAATGGATTTATCTGTCAGTGTTACTTAATTAAGCCTTCTCATTGATGTTTTGCAGAGTAATATAGTGTAGTTTGCACATTTAAGTCTAAATACAAAGAAAATTGGTCGAAAGCTAAGATGTGACCCCTGAAGATAAGGCACAAGAGCCATTGCTTGTCATTTTCTGATCAGAGTCCAGAACTTTTAACTGTGGTGGAAGACCTTGAGCATTATGTGGGCTGAGATTAAAGCAAGGTAAAGGTCAAGGAGTTTTCAGCCAAAATTGAGATGGCTGAATATTTTGGAGTCTAGGCAAATCTTACAGAATTATTCTGTGAGGTTAGTCTCCTAATCTCTACCTGATATAATACGCTTGGGTATGTAGAATGATGCCTGCATATCTTTAACATCTGTCTTCCCCTGATGTATCCCCAAAAGCTGTCCCTCTCCCTGCCCAGGGGTGTCCTTTGTGTTCGGCAGTGCTCCCCCCTGCCTAGGCAGGACTTTTTCTCTGGGTTAGTCTTGGGTGTGCCCAGGGACTCGATCTGGGATGTTTGCAGAGACAAGGAATACCTCAGCCCTGAGGTATGTGTTGTTCCTGTGTTATTTTAAGCACCTGATAGTGCCCTCTGATCATTGGTACACTTGGCTCAAGGGAGAGGTAGGAATAACGCAGCAAAGAGTACCAGAAAGGACAGCCGGGCAGGAATTCAGCTCACCACAAAAACATATGTTTAACTGTGAGCACACAAATAGTTCCTTTCACATCCCTGGGGCTGTCCAGTGGTTGGCCATGAAGCCAGTATTTCCATGTGCTGCTAGAAAGTACTGGGCACCTGCGGGAGCGTGGTGCCCCTTCCCTGTGCCGGAAAAAAAGGATTTTGAAGAGCATGACTTGGAAGCAGCACCACGAGTGGGTTAAATCACGTGTATCAGCCCGGCATATGTTGAAGGGATGATAGTGGACTCTCAGCTGGAGCTGGATGGTGGGCTCTCAAAGGAAAGAGCTCGGCAGCCGCGTGCACCCCTTGCCCGGGCTGGTGTGGGGATGCTGCCTTCCCTCTCCGCTGTCCCTCCTCAGCACTGAGTGCAAGAGAAGGATTACTGCTCAAAACGTAGCCCTGAAATGTGTTATTTTAGGTGACGTATTAGAGTGCCCAAGACGACGGCATCTGTATTCTTAAAATATAAATAAAAATGCACAGTATAGCAGTCTGAAAACCTTTATTGGCATGTAAATCTTGCTCCTAGTGCTGGCCACGAGCCAGTGTAAGGGGCCTTGACAACATGCATTATTTTAGGCTAGCTGACTTTTACAGCAAATAAGTATGTTAATAAATGAAATTTCTAACAGGCAGCTATGCGAATAACACCTCCTTGTTAATGAAAGCAGAGCTCCCCAGGTGATGCCCCGCGCAGGGCCCTTCGCTGGTGTCGCTCTGTCCTTTGCCCTCTGTTTTACGCACGCGCGAGTGGGCTCGTGGGTCTGCACGGCAGAGTGGAGAGCGGGATGGGGCTGCAGCCGCTCCTGCAGGTGCTGGGTTTATCACCTCTCTGGAGGTGGGCTCAGGGCTCTCGCCCGGTCCCCCAGGCGCTGTTCCTGAGGGCTGAGCTGTTCTGCTCGCTGATGGATTTTGGAAGCTATGCTCGAGGGTGGGACGATGCCCATCAAAGTCAATGGGATAATATCCGCTGATTTTTAGCAGGCAATGGATCAGGGCTCTACAGAGTTAATTACCTGTTACATAACACAAATGATTTTTAAAAATATGCCTAATTAACCTAATAGAATGGTTGATCTGATCTGTCAGGTAAATGATACACATTTTCTTTCTTTTTCTGGAGCTTAATTAAATATTTACCTAAGGGTGTCTTGTGCTATTAACATGTTCATCCATTATGGAGATAATAGGAATTGTAATTGGGGGAAAGTATTAACCCCCACACGTTTGTATAGTTTTTGTTTGGGTTTTTTTGGTCTTGGAAGTCAACCAGACTTGGTCACAGCACCCGTATTTTAAAGCGCTAATGACCATATCTGTTTCTCAGACAACCAAAGTTCCCACCGATCCTAGAGGTCTGCATGAACCAATGCACAGGTGGGAAGGGAGCTGCTCGCGTGCGTGGTCTTCGGCAGCACTCTGAGAAAGTTTCTCTAGCCAGCAAGACCAAATACGTATTTTTCCAATTAGATTAAAGCTACTGTTTGTGCATGGCAAAAGGCAAGCAATGTTATTATTTCATTAGGATGCTAGTGGGTACACAGGAGTAAGTTGGTAAATAGTACTGAAATGTGCAATAATACTGTTATAAATCAATGTCAATCAAATTTCCTGATATTTAACATACTGTAAGTAAAAAAAAAAGTAATGGATTTAAGCAGTATGGTCCAGTCCATCAATGTACTAAAGGATGTGCTTAACGTTAAGCATGAGTGATCTCATTTACTTGAATTAACACGGGAGTGAACTATGATTTCAGTGGAATTATTCACAGGCTTCCATTAAACCTGTGCGCAAGTGCCTCGCTGAACTGGTGTTATGTTTAGCCATTAAGTTTTTAGCCAAGTGGAAAGTCTCAGGAGACTCCCAACTCATTTTTGTAAAGGTTTTGTGATGGCAGCGGTTGTGCAAGCATATCCCAGCATACTTGAGCGCACTGCAGAAGATCTTTAGCTTTCAGTGTCAGCGGTCCCTGGCCAAGTCGAGTTCCTCGGTTTCTCCCGGGCCTTGGTGCAACCTCAGAGGTAGCGTGGCCAGCTTGGAGGTGCACGTTGCTGCTTGGGGTACCCGAGAGGGACAGCCCCGTGCAGTTGGGGTGTCTTTGGAAGAAGTTACTGCATGGGTCTTTTTGGTGGTGTGGGGTTTGTTGGGTTTTTTTGTTTTGTTTTGTTTTGTTTTTAAGGCTCTACATTTGGAAGACCATTCAATGTTACAGGGAAGTTTTGATAACAATAAACTGGGTTAATTAACAATACTGGGAAAGACTTGGGGAAAGTGGAATGAAAATAGTTCCATCAGAGAAGAAATGTTGGGAATTGTGAAATGTGGAGAGCGTTCATATGCAAAATGTGTCTATGACCTGGTTTTTGTCAATGAAAATGCAGTGTTGCAGTCCAGCTAGTCTCTTTTATCCAGTGATCTGGAAGCACGCTGCAGTGGCTGACTAGCGAAGCTCACCTCGCATTCCTGGCGTGACTATCAAGCTGTCCCTTTGGTGCACAGATAAAATGCACACAAAAAAATGGCAGGCTGAAACAATTCTGTGTCTTGTTGCAAAGTTAAGAGGAACTTGTAGAAGTCCTGGTTCTTTGGTCTGTATCCTAAATGGCAGGTTTCACCATGTCCTAGCACATACGCAATGGGACGAGTTATTCCTAGAGACACCCTCTCAAACAGGGGGAAAATGGTTAAAAACACCCTGAAATGGGCTGTCTGAAATTACTGGAGTGTCTCCCACCCAATGGTTGCAGTGAATTTTCTATCAAATGATAGAGGACAAGACAGAAATACCCCCTCTGTGCTTGGCTTTAGGAATGTGCTTTTCTCTTCTTGAGATACAAGTATGTGCGTAAATGCTTTTCTGCAGCAGAAGCCTAGATGAGGTGCTGAGAGGTACATTTACCCCAAACATGCCTTACTTTAACTTCTAGGTTTCATCTGTTTTATCATGTTTTATTTTTACTGTTTGACAATACCTATTTTTGTGCTGGAGATTTTGATAGGATTTTAACTGGTACAGTGCAGTCACTTTTTAAAGTGTTGAGAAACACTGAGCCGCTGAAGTAATTTTTATGCTCAAACCTCAGGTTCCTGAGGGTCCAGTTCATTTCTGCTGTGAATTTAAATGAGTTAATTTAAGCAGTGGGTCAGAAGCCACTACCATCGTAGTAGCCCTGTGCCTGATTCTTAATTAAAGGCAACAGGAGATTAATTTGAAACATTAATTTAAAAGTGCCTATACAAAAGGAAAGAATTATTGCAATAAAGCCTAAAGAACTTTTTTGTCCCTAGATGTAGAAGACAGAACTAGCTCAGGGTCCTGGGGGAATACAGGACATCCTAGTCCATCCAGGGTAAGTATATCTAATCTTTTTCCCCAAACCAGACTTCCTGCATATGTAAATTTACAATCTTAAATATGAGTTTTACACCTGATTGCGTAGAAAAATGGGCATGCAAACTTGGCTGTAGCCTGTCTTCTCTTTAAAATTGCCTTTTTTTTAACATTCAAACCTGATCCTGTGATTGAATTTGGCACCTGCTCTGCTACTTCTAACAGGTAGCGAGAATATTAATTAACCATTTTTTCTTGCTAGGCCCTACCAACTGCTGCCACCACCCAGAGCGCGGGTGGAGCAGAGATGTTGTTGCTGAGTGTTTTGTTTTCCGCAGCTGGATTTTTAGGGATTGTGGCTGTCGCCAAACCTGGGGAGCGGGCCAGTGCCCCCGCCGTGGGCATCGCTCGTCCCCGTGCGGGGGCTTGCCGGCCACTCCACGGCCACCCCAGGGCCCGAGCTCAGGGCAGCGAAGCTGGAGAGGGGCCGCCAGCTCTGTCCCACCGTGCCAGCTGTGCCCCTGCCCTTCCCTTCCCGCGGCGCACCTCAGCCGCTCCGTGCCTCCGGTGAGGGGCTTCCAAACCCTTCTCCTCAGGCAGGGGCTGGTGCCTGGGTGTTTCGGCATGTCTCCCCCTGACTGCTGGCACCATCCGAGCTCCAGGGCAGGTAGCCCAGCTGCCGGCTACTTGCCCACCTCCCTGCCCACCTCTGCTCCGAACGCTGCTGAGGATGGGGCAAGGACAATCTCCTGTGCTCCCCACGTATGAGTGGGATCCGCCGCCGGGGAATGCGGACACCAAGCCGCTATCTGGCACGGCGATGCTCAGCGTTTGCTGAGATTTGCAAGACAGCTGGACTCAGTCATTTCGATTGTGGCTGTGGACAGTTATCCAAATTCTGTAGACACCTCAGGATTGGGATGCCGGTTACTTTGGTAGGGAAGAAATGCTATTTCCAGCAGAGCAGCTGTGCCCCGAGCTGCCGCCGCTCCCGAGCAGCGCGGTGCGGGCAGCCCTGCTGATGGTCCCCCCGAGCCGCCCCGGCAGCCCCGCTCCCCAGCCGGAGCATCGCGGCGTTCCTCGTCCTCGGGGCTGGGCACGGCTTGTGCTTCAGTACCAAGATGATTATTTCTGTTTACTTCCTGCAAACGCATGAAGTACGCTTACGCTGGGCAAAAAGTGGCTTTGCTCTTACTTATGCCCTTATTTAAACAGTTTGTTTAAATTGCTTTTTAATTGTTTTCTAATTAACGTGAAGGATCAGGGCTCGCAAGCAGCATTGCCGGGAGCTCCGTGCCCTCGAGTGTCTGTCTGGCGAGGAGAAATGCGGTTGCCCTGTTTGTCCTTGGTCCGTCCTTTCCCCTCGGGGCAGGTCCTGCCCTCGGCGGACGTTACGCCAGCTGAGGTTTTAAGCCGATGTCCGCAGCGCTGCACGGCACTGCAGGCAGCCGAGGGGGGTCCCCCGTTTACGGTGTCGCGGGGGGACCCTGGCGCTGCCGCCGAGGGAGGGAAGCCCGACACCTTTTCTTATTCCGTCCTGCTTAGCATCCATTACGTCATTACTGCTCACATCTGTCAGTTTTATTTTTATCCCTTTTTTTTTACTTGACACTTGTATTGCTTCCGAGGGAAAGATGTTTTGAAAAGTAAATTCTAAATTTGCACACACAATTATTTATGCATGCAAAAACTTGAATGTGAGCGTACAATTAAGTTTTGAGATATAAAGAAAAGAGCACGAGCCTGGGAGTTTCTGGAGTTTCAATCAAGACTGTGCATTAACTTGCAGTGTTATTCTGCAAACAGCCTGACCTCTCTTTCCTTCTTTGTAAAATGGTGATGGTATTTCCATGTTGGGAGAATTAGTTTCTCGTGAGTTCTTCTAAACCGAAGAAACAAAACATTACATAACTGGTGTGCTTGGCCAATGTTTGTAGTTAAATTTAAGATTTTGCTAATCGAGTGGCTGAAAGCAGAAGTTTCCACCAAAACTGTTTCAAAAATTAAGGGCCTGATTCTGGCAAGGTTTTATACGTCCTTGACTCTGTGGGTAACATCTGATGCTGTTGATCCCCAGAGAAGTACTGAAGGGTAACAAGGCAGCGCAGCGTGCGGGCCAGGAGGGGGTCGCTGCTGCTCACTAGCTACGCATAGAATTGCACATCCAAAGGATGAGTGCAGGTTATTTTTTCAGTGAGAAGTGACTTTCCACACCCACTGTGAAAAAAATTCTAATTTTTTTTATAGTCCAGTGCATGTATATAGCAGTGAGGTGATTAAGATGGCAAATTTCTACATATAAATAGAATTAAAAAGCAAAATGTTAAAAGTAGTATTTCTTTGCTATTCTTGCATATGTTGTGGGCAAGAAGGCTTTTATGCTAAGAGAGGGCTTTATGCTGAATTGCACAGCACGAAATTCCAGGAACCCTCATCTCAGTCACCCATTCAGGATTATCCACACAGCAAACTGAAGTCAATTACTAATGAAATAAAAATTTGAAACAGCTTTAAAAATGTTCTGGAACACATCACTTCCGGCAGAATCAATAGGGGAAAACAATAAAGGGAACAATATTACTTATAGTTGGCTTAAAACTTAGAAGGGAAATATGGACCTGTAGGTTTTGAAAAATGCTATTTAAACTTGTAAAATTTTGTTTTTTCCTGATTTGTTAACAGAACTATGGAGATGGGACTCACTATGATCATATGGCGAGCAGAGACCTTGGGTCGCATGACAATCTCTCTCCTCCCTTTGTCAATTCCAGAATACAAAGTAAGAAATCGAATTTCCTAACTTGACCGTGTTGTTGAAAGTGGAATAAGTGAACCAGAAATAAAATTCTGAGGGTTTAAATCCCTCATTCTCATTTTTGGGGTTGATCGTACTCGGCATAAGGGTGGGAACATGGATTATTTTTTTTTAAGCTGTCATGCAATTTCAAAAATGTACACCGATGATGTTTATTGAACAGACTGTGTTTTCTTGCTGTGAGAGGGATATGACTTTTGATGCAGTAACTGCATTATTTGCTGAAAGAGGTAAATGGTCGTTTTCTAAGGCTCAGCCTTTTGTTTTCAAAGAAGTGGCCAGTTGGCAGAGAAAATAAGGACATGCTCTGAACAGGACTTTTAAAGTAGGAAAGGATTTCTGAAAATACGATAAATATATGTTCACAAAAGGGAACAGATAAATAACTGGTGAGGGACACTGAAGCCATTGTTTGTTTTGGAGCATGGTGGATCTCTGCCTGCTGGGACCTGTGAGCTGCAAACTCCTGGATTTCAGGCGAGGGTAGTTGCAGCCTATTCTGCTTTAGAGGAGTGAGATTTTGCCCACGGCGTTTGGCAAGGACCCTCCTTCCACCCCACACCCCATGATAGAAAGTTTTGACACCCCTGAATAATCATTTAGCTTAGCAGCAAACACCAAAGCAGTATGAAGAGAGGCTATAATTATTTGTAAGTGAATGATAGCTACTTTCTTTAATTATGGTTGATAAATGAGTTTAGTTAAAGTAAATATATGATGTAAAAATATTAGTAATGCTTATGCTTGGCCAAGATCACACCCTTCTTCTGCAGTTGTCAATGAACTAACCAAATGCTTTGCTTTAAAGGATTGAATGCGAGCCAAAAAAAACATGGAGCTGTAACTGTGATATATCATTCTTCAGCTCTAATATATGTCCCTAAAATATGCCTTGTCTTTTAATATTGGGAAATATTTGTGAGTTGTTTAACATATGGGACAATGTTGGAGCTTGTAGTCATTTGTATGTATTCACGTACAAAACATGGTTACAACAGTTTTAAAGGGTCTAATATAAGCCAAAAAAAGCATGGAAATTTCAACACTCCCATCTTAACTCACGCCATGGGGCTTAGGTAGTGCGCAGAGACACTTTGCAAATAGCCACACGCTTCTGTGAAACCCACTGGGCTGCGTGGTGCTTTCAAGTTTAACCTTTAATTTGAGTCTTTAGAACTTAAAAGTCTCTCTCTCTTCTCCCTGCCCTTGGGTCACAGAAGAATCTCGTTCCTGACTCTGATTGTTTTTGTCAAATCTTAGCGAAAGTACTGGTTTCACTTGGTTGAAGAACTAGTTGTTTTATGGAAACACATTCGGAGGCACCCGGTTAAAGAATTAAGCCATGTAATACTCTGTTGAGGAACTTTGGAAGCCCTGATGTTTCCAGAAGGTCCCGCTCGTTGCCATCAGAGGGGTTTGCAGAGCCGCCGCTCACCCCGTCGCGACTCTGCAGACCCGAACCAGCGGTGTCTGCTCCAGCCGCGGGCGTGAGCCGGGCAGCGTGGCAGCATCCTCGCAGCGCGTGGTCCTGAAGCGCCCTGGCGTTTTTTGGTTATCATGAGATTTGGTAATTTCAACTGGAAATAATACCAGTGATGCTCCTACACGCATAGATCGATGTGTGCGTGAGCGGACGGTGAGCGACTAACAGCTTTTGACAAGCGTGCTATTGCACAATAACGTGTGCGTGCTGCCGGGGCAGTCAGCTGCCTCCTGCAACCCACGGCGTTTTGCATCCGTGCTTGGGTATAGTTCTCTGGTAATTGGAGCGGACTCTTCTTAATTTGTCCCATCGGCGCAGCCCGTTACTGCCCAGTTTTGCTCCGCTCCTGGGCGCGGAGCAGTAGTGCGGGAGGAGGAGGAATGGCCGCTGGGATGCGTGCGTGTTTCCCTCCCACTCGGACACCTCCGAGGGCCGTGGCCGGGAGGTCTGTTTCTGTGCCGTGTGGGAATGGAAACCCTTAACCGGCACCGGGACAGGCGCTGTGGTTGCTCACCCTGCCTCTGTGGAGGACTGTCTGTGAAACAAAGACCGCTGTCAGTCTGCACTGGTCACGTCTGTATTTGTGATTTTAGGAGAAATCTAAACATCGTGGTGATGAACAATGCACAGTGCTGTTTACTCGGATGGAGGCTGCCTGGACTGCCAGCTCCCAACTCCTGTTACTCCAAATGTGTTTTATCATTCCCCTTTTCCTGGCAGGTCTGCGAACTCCCCCGGGAAAGGTCCCCGTAAACTCTGGTGTTACGCAGCTGGCACCTGCAGAGCCACACTGTAGTTTTCTTTCCCTGCTCCTCTTTCTCTTGGCAAGTGATAAAAAGCCTGACAATTATCCAGCTTGAACTGGTTTTATACTGGTGTATGCTGTTGACTTCAATGGAGTTGCTCCTGATTTGAGGTGGTTTTCTAGGCAGAAAAGACTTTGTTGTTACTGGGGAGAGGTATTACTGACCCTGTACCTGTGAACCACAAATGTTTGCAGGCAGGCTGTGCTTAAATGAGGGCTCATTGTATTTTATTTCTCAGATACTTGGTTTTTAAAATATATTTTTACGTGGCCAGTGTCTACCAGGAAGCCTGTGCATTAGGGCTTTGGAGCAAGCCCTGTGGGGAGGAGCAGAGAGAAGTCGCAGAGCTGCATGCATTACTCAGCTCCTCAAACCACTGCCTGCCTGTATTCAAACACAGCTTGCTTTGTGCGTGTCTGGAGTCCCGCTACCCTGCTAGGTATTTAGTGTTTTCTTAAGAGTATCTGAAGAGTAGTTACTTGGCCCAGCAATGAAACGTGCATGGCCAGATAGCTGTGACGGGTTTGGCACATTGGGTGTTGCTTCTCATCGCCTCTCCGGTTTCTAGGTGTGCTCTTTGGGAATGTGTCTTATCCCACTACTTGGGATATCTTGTTAGTACATTAAATCATTTACCCATGTACAGTAACTTGCTTCTAAACCCCCTGTAGCTTAATGGGAGCATTCCACTGCAAGGATTAGATTGAGGTTTCAGGCACTGCTGAAGAAAGCTGCTGGCTTATGTGGTGACCTTTGAATCTCATCTGGGTTAGTGGTTGATATTTTGATTTGGTTACTGTGGTCATATTGTGACAGCTGCTGGTTCATTATAATTCAGTTCCTCTCCTCAGTTTGCCTACCAGGAATATTTAGGTTTGTGTTGCTTCAAAGTGCTCTAACCACCCTGAATTTAACCCAGCATGCCACACAAGGTGGAGCGTTGTGAACACTTTGGGTCACCAGCCGCTGTGCGCTGGGCAGGCAGTCACGGCGGAGGGTATGGCAGGCAGAAACTTGCTGCGGGAGAAAACTTTCCCTGAGGTTTACAAGGCTGATTTAACCCAGTTTGTTGAATGTAGTAAAAATGAGAATAGAAAAGATCAAAAGCACTTTTCTTATTTTGTTGCACAGACAGTTTGTGTACACCTTCCCTCTGTATGAAATAATTCTGGTGTTCACAGTAGTGATTTTATATGACTTCTTGAAAAAGTTCCTATACTAGTAACTAGAAGACAGTATTTAATTTTTGATATTGCTTTGAGACTCTCTAAAAGGATGTAAGGTCACTGAATGTAGATCTCTTAATGGTTGTAGGAGTTGGTCGGTGACCTAATATGTGAAGACAAAATCTTTGCTTGTGTTTATTTTCTCTTTCTATTGCAAAACCCAAAATGAAGAGCAGATACAATGACTTACTCTTACTTCCCTCCCAGTTGTCTGCTTCAGATCAATGCGGCACTTCTTCGGGTTGTGCCCTTACACGATCACTTGCCTGACGTGCTTTTGGGAGGGCCGGCGCGTGCTTTTGCCAGCGACTGGCACTTGTATTGCAAAATAAATATTTTCCCCTCTGGTTTCATCCCTTTTCCTTTTAAAAATCTCCAAGTCATAAATTTCCTCTTAGCATTGTTATTTTGGAGAAGGTGGCGTTTTCTCGCAGTTGGAGCGGCCGAGCGGTGCTGGTGCCGGTGCCAGCGCAGTACCGGGGGGCTGGGGCGGCGTGGGCTGCCGGCCGTGCCGGGGGGCAGGGCTCGTGCTGGGGGTCCTGGGGAGCCCGGCTTGGCTGCCGATCTGCGGCACGCTCTTGGCGAGTTCTTTAACGTCTTTATGCTCAAATGTGCCTTCCTCTTTATCGGAACACACGCTATATATTTTGCAGGGATATTGTGAGATGTGATGAATTACTGTCTGGAAAACATCCTGAGTTCCTCGGATACTCCGTATACGTGCCAATTTTTAATATTATTTTTAATGCTATGATAGCACTTGTCTCCGTACGAATATTGCTGTGGCGTTTGCTTTTAATCCGTACAGCTTTGATTCTGTTACTGTTATTATAAGTAGAACTGGAATTTTTGCAGATTAGTGAAGTTTACCCAACACAGCATTATAAGGCCTTGCTTTCAATTGCTAAACTGTAAACATTTGGGATGAAATTTTCCATGCTGTGTATCTGACTCAGCCTGATTATTATTTTTTTAACCTTCTGCAGAAATGATTTCAACATTTCCTAAAATGAGATTACATTTCATCCTGGCAGATTTTTGATTTTCTCAGTTAGTGTCTGGCACATCACGAACATTAATTCTTTTTCACACCACCTCTGTTATGTCAGGTGGCTTTGGTTCCCATTTTGCAGCTGGAGAAGTGAAGGTACGTGAGGAACCATGAGGGAAGTGTCAAAAACTGTCCAGTAATTTTCAGTTGTAAATTTGAAATGCAAAAGAGTTTGATGGTCTCTCAGTTCTTGCATTCGGTGACACCCAAGGATGCCATCACTTGGGAAAATCGCAGTTGCGATGCTTCGTATGGGTCATCCACATTATGGGAACACACACTCAGTAGCCACTTACTGATCTTAGTGGTGTCTGGGTTTTTTTCTTACTGTTTCCTAAAGCCTTTTCAGGGCAATGCACTATTGAAGGAGCCTGGCAACTTATGGTGGATAGAAAACA